ATTTCTAATATTTGCTTTTTTCCATCTCTCTACTTACATTGGGTTTTGTTTGCTCTTTTTCTAGCTAAGGTGTAAATTTGGGTTTGAGATTTTTTTTGTTTCTTGATGTGCAGGTACTTATCGATATGAATCTTAGAACTGCTTTTGTGGCATCCCATAAATTTTGGTATGCTGTATTTTCCATTTCATTTGTTTCAAAGTAGTTCTTTTAGTTCTCTTTGATTTCTTTTTTATTGCATGGCTGCTAACATTGTATTACGTTTTGGTTCTCCAAAATCTATGTCCTTTTTTTTTTCCTTATAGAGCCCTCAGATAGTTGTTCTTTGTATTTTATTGAGAGATTGTAGATAGATTTTTTTTTTTTTTTTTAGGTGCATAGTCCTTGATAACAGAAGTCACTGTTTCTTAAATTAGGAACTTCATAGAATTAAGTAGATTTAGAGGAAAAAATCATCAAAGTCAGAAGTGGTTAAGAAAAAATTTGTGGAGCAAGTATTTAGCTAAGCTTTACAAATAGGCTTATGTTCTTATATGAAACATTAAGTCAACTGCCTAATTTTTGTATTTCATTAAATAGAGGTGTATAGGTTCTGTAATGAGCCATACAGAAATGAAATTTCTGCTTATGGTATTTTCTAGTTATAAAGTAAATGGTGGCTTACAGCAATAGAATATAGATCGTGTTTTCTATTTTAGCAGTTACAGCTCTAATTTTATGTGTTTTCATGATTTATTATGATAAATAATAAAATGTTTCATGAATACCTACACACATAGTTCCTAAAACTCATTCAGTATTTCTGAGCAGTATTTTTCTAACTATAGATAGCCTGAGATATTAGTGGTTTAGTGGGTAATGAAATCAGTTTAGAGGGTTTTTCAAGTACCATTTTCAAAATGAAACATAATAAAACTTGTTAAAGAACAGGGCTCCAGGTAAAAATTTTTCTGTGGAACTTTGGGATATGTATATCAGTTTGCAACATAAAAAGTATTTCTTATACTGTATTGTATGGTCCAAACAGTGGCTACTGTTTTGGAGCACCCCACTAGTTAAAATCTGGTATAAAACTTTACATTTTCTTTTTCCATTTAAAAGGGCTAATATAATCATAATTTTGGCTGATTTTTGTATGAGCTTAGAATTGTGGTTTACTTTCACTTATGAGAATTTAAGCTTATGTTGAGGTCATTACATGGAAATATGAGATAGAATGAAGTGATATATATATATATATGTATTTTTTTTAAGTCATTGTATTTTGAACTGACATCTTAGTAATGTCAGGTAAGAAGTAATGCTAGTGAGATGTGTAAAAACTATCATTTAAACAGTTTGGCTTGGGTTGAAAAACATTAAAAATATCAGCGTCTTATTTTTCTTGTGTTTTTTTTGTTTGTTTTTTTTAAAGACTTTATCTATTTGAGACAGAGAGAATGAGAGAGAGAGAGCACATGAGAGGGGGGAGGGTCAGAGG